TGTTGGCCATTCTACGCTGTTGTTTAGCATCGTCAGTCCCGCCCTCTATAATTGCCGTTATATACAGGTTCCCCGATAGTGACCGTTATATTTAGGGTGTGGCCGTTCTACGCAGGTGTTTAGCATCGTTAGTCTTGCCCTCTATAATGACCGTTATAATTATACAGAGTGTTGGCCGTTCTTCACAGGTGTTTAGCATCGTTAGTCTTGCCCTCTATAATGACCATTATATACAGGGTGTTGGCCGTTCTTCACAGGTGTTTAGCATCGTTAGTCTTCCCCTCTATAATGACCGTTATATACANCATAGATAGGGTTGAGTGCAAGGCGCATTGAATAGAGACACGGAAGGCTTATATATGTAGTCGATGCAAGGCAAAGTGGAGGATAGTAGAATTAGTGCAACGTACCGCTAAAAACACTTAAGAACTAGGGAACGACAAAGACGTACGAAAGAAAACAAATGCGTGTGGTGCTGGGCTCAGGACTGGTTGAACGGATGAGGCAGTTGTGTAGGTCGCGAGGTGGGGGCGGATGAGGGAGGATCGGAGACATGAGGAAGAAAAGCACTCCAAGGCAGGCAGGATCCCGCACTCTCACCCTCTAGTCGCCTTACGAGTTGTAACCTATCGTTGCACTGAAGTAAAGACCGTTTTCCTGAGAATAAAGATTTTGTCTATTTCTTCGTGTACCGTGACACATACTTGGTTACATTCTAGACATTCTATTTCTATAGTCTCGGCTACAGTTCTCCGTTTGTCTTGTTTCATTCACGGATACTTGTTTTTCCGGTGGATTAATTACTTCTTAGTGTTTTTTCTGAAATATTAGTCAAGCGATCTTTATAATACATAAGGAAAACGAAAGAAAACTTTGTTTTGTCAATTATCCTCCATTTGACCCAACATTCGATACATATTCGCGAACTTTGATTACCATTACAGTCATTGCATCGTCTATTGTATATAGGTATATGTAAATGTATTGTACTGTAGGTAGACCCTATACTTACCTACTTAATTACTAATCTACCAACCAACCCAGCTACCCATGCACCCACCTACCTACCTACCTATACCTACCTACCTACCAAAGCCCACCCACCTACCCATACATTCATCCGTCCGTCCGTCCGTCCGTCCGTCCGTCCGTCCGTCTGTCCGTCCGTCCGTCCATCTATGCGGATTGTGCGCGCACACAGCACGAACACAGTGACACACAACAGTGAACAAATTTTGCATATATTAAGCTTATCGTCATATTCACTTAGATTGCAAACTATAAAGATTATTCCTTATGGGGTATATATGCATTGGAACCATCCTATATAACAAATATATATGGTCAAGAGACGATGGAAAACGTTATACATACTACAGTAC